GCTGCCCCCTCGCCTTCCGTCTCACCGGCCGGCGCGGCGTCGGCTTTCCCTGGGCTGCGTCCTAGTTCCCCTGGGAGCCTACCTGCTTCTCAGGGTCCTCTGGAGTGTCCATGAGTTCGGGACCCAGGCCCGGTGGTGCAGCCCAGTCTCCTGGTGCGGGCTCTGGTCCACTCGGTGCCTGGCGTGGTTCGGAGTGATGTTGGCCTGCCTCCCAGAACCGGTCATCCCTCAGATGTCGGGGCCATTGGGCATCCCTCCTGGGGAGGCCAGGAAGCACATCTGGACTGCTTTCCCTGCTCTTATAGTCCTGGCCCCGCTCTTCTGCTTCCTGTGGGAGGGGCTAGGTAGCTCTAGCTCCACCCACCAAGGGGTCTTATGGAGGGCCTCCCCTTCCGGGTCAGCCCTATTTGGCCTGGCAAACCCATGTGTCCATCCTTGAAGCACCAACCCTGCGAGGCGAGTCCGCAGTCTCTCCCCTTCGTAACCCTCAGCTGCCCACCTGCCCTGACGCTCCAGGATCTGGAGAAGAGGACCTTGTATGGGGCAGGAGTTCCCCGGGAACGGTCAGGGAGCAGGGGCATTGGTTAGGGGGCAGGAGGAGCAGCGGGGGTTAAAATAGGAGGTGAAGGTTGTGGGGGGGTCTGTCAGGGAGCAGGTGGGTTGAATAGGGGGCAGGAGATCCCAGCGAATCGATGGAGATTCCAGAAACGATCTTCGGAAGAACGACCAATGCTTTAACGGTTATGTCGGGGAAGGAAGCTCCCCCAGTCTAGCTTTAAGGACAGGTCGGACAGCGGGCGAACCAAGAAACTCTAGAAATCAGACACTGCCCTCAGCCTCTGATAGTCCCCCACGAACGAATCAACCAGGCACTCAACTAATTCCTCGCTTGTCTCTTCCAGGGGATGTAAGACTTCCTGCTTCGCCCTCCATCGGGCTCCCAGGTCAGTGCGATTTTTTTTTTTAACTGTGCTTTGGAGTTTCCACAGTCTGCGCCCATTCCTGTCCTCCGGCTTGAAGCATAGACACGAGGGCACCGTCTCTATCCCCGTGACCACAAAACCCTTGTTAAGGTTGCAAAGAGGCATCCGTTCCCACTGCGCTGCCGAAATCGGAGCAGAATGCCAGGAGTCAGCAACAGCCAAAACCTTTGAAAGCCAAGAAACGCAAAGTTAAAGTTTTAAGAGGATTAAAAAACCACAAAGTGTTCAAAGTTTTTGAAAATGCCCCAAACAACCTTAACCTTAACTCTGCCCTTTGTGCCACCGGTTCCTGCCCTAGGCACAGAATGTACATTGACACCAATGTTAAATATTCCTTATGCTGTTCTTTGCCCTCTGCATGGAGTAAGTTTGCTCTGGGTGGGGTAGAGATGCTCCTACACTCGTTTGGCCACACTGAGCTGTGACATTTCTCCGCTCCCCTTGCTGGCTAGCTTTATTACGCCTCTGATCCTCAGTCTCTGTTGTGTTTATCCTCACCCACCTGGTGTGGGAAGGCAGAGCTGTTGCCCAGCTGGCAGAGCTGAGTGACTTGCCCGAGGCCACACCGGAAGTCGGTGGCAAACCAAGGACTTGATCCCTGGTCTCAAGTTGGTGCCCGAACCTCTGCCCAATCTCTCCTTTGCCAGGGAGGTTACTCTACAGCAGTGTTTCGTAAACTTTTTACGACTGAGGAACACCAATTTTTTTTTATGGGGAACACCAAAGATTTTTTTGTTGAGGAAAAAAAGCCCCCAGGGAAAAGTTGAGTGAAAAAAAAAAGAGGCTTGTCCCTTTATTTGAATTCTGTTCTCTCCACAGCACACCAGTGGTACCATGGAACACACTTTAAGAAACACCGATCTAGACCATCCCTGGTAGATGTCTATCCAACCTGCTCTTCCATATCTCCCATTAAAGGCGGCCATTCCCCAGACCAAAAAAAAGGAGACTTATGCCTTTAAGGGCAGCCATTTGTTGACAAAAAAAGGAGGCTTATCCCTTTAAGGGCAGCCATTTTTAATTCTGTTCTCCTCCGCAGAACATCCTTTAAGAAACACTGCTCTACACTCTAATCAGTGCCACTGCTAAGAACTGGTTTCCCGGTTCCCATCTCAAACCTTCTCCCACATGGTGATCCCCTTAACTCTGCCCTACTATGGAATGGCCTGAACCATTAGCAGGGGTGCCCTAGACCATCAAGGTTGGCTCAACTCAGCAGCCCTCTGATGACGTCGGATGTCTTTACCTACCAGAAACGTGCCCCGTGCTTTGGCCTAGCGGAGGAGAGGGACTGGGGGAGGAGGAGGTCGTGTCTCTCACGTGCAGCAGCATAACGCAGGGCTGGTGTCTCCATTAGGGGCGGCCTTTGTGGAGAAGCACCGGCTGCAGCTCCGCGATCGAATGGGGCTGCTCGACTCCATGCTGGCCCGCTTCCGGGACGCCCAACTCCTCAACAGCGAGGAAGAGGAAGAGGTGAAAAGCCACCAGACCAGCAAACGGCGGAACGACGCCTTACTGCAGCTGGTGGAGAGGAAGGGGATTCGGGCACAAGAGAAGCTGTACCAAATCCTCCGGGAGACAGACCCATGCCTCGTAGAGGACTTGGAGGCATCCCAGTAGGGTCAGGAGAACTTCCTCTTGGCCACAAGCACTGAGGGCTACTGCCGTGGCCAGTCGTCACGGAGAAATATGTTTGAGGAGATTTGCAAGCCACGCCACTGGGCCACCACCACGAGGAGTCGGAAATCTGTGGGGATTCCCCTGCAGAGCGGACCCTCTGACACGTGGCCATCAGGCCTCACCGAAAGCAGCCCTGACTCCTCGTCCAGTGCCGTCACTGTTAGGCCTCCTTTCCTAGCACAGGCGCTGCTGTGGATGCTCTGGAGAACGTCCAGCGGAGGGCAACCGAAACGAGGAGAGGTGGAGGGATCTGGGCTTTTTTGGTCCACAGAAGAGCGGGAGGGGATTGGAGAGCAGCCTTCAACTCCCTGAAGGGCGGTTCCAAAGAGGATGGAGGGAGGCTGGAGATGGCTGGCAGAACGAGGAGGAGGTCTAGGTTGGAGATGAGGAAATAATTTCCCGAGGAGGGTGGGGAAGGCCTGGAACGGGTGGAATCTCCATCTCTAGAGATTTGGAAGGTCCAACGTGACCAAGCCATGGCTGAGATGAGTTAGGGTGAAGGGCGGGAAAATGGGCCATTGGGGCCGAAACGGGGCTACCACCATGGCCAACGGCATGACGGCTGTTGCCGTGGAAATGACTCCCTGGCAACAGGAACCATGAAAACAGCGTGGACTCGCCATCCCTAGAGGTTTTGAAGGCCCGGCTTGACCAAGCCCTGGTTGGGTTGATTGAGTTGGCTTGGGCTTGCTTTGGACTTGATGACCTCCTGAGGTCTCTCCCAACGCTAGGCTTCTACGAGTCTACTTTCAACAGCTTTCTTTGTCGGAGGCTGCACAGAGAGAGACCCATAGAAATCCATTCCTGTGAAGTGTTTTGCCTAAGGTAGATCTAGAAAAGTGATTCTTCCCCTTGATTCGGCTCTGGTGAGGCCACATCTGGAGTGGTGTGTCCTGTTCCGGGCCCCCCGCTACAGAAAGGATGTGGACGCATCAGAGAGGGTCCAGCGGAGGGCGACCAAAATGATGAGGTGGCCTGAGCAGACGACCTATGAGGAGAGATTGAGGCATTTGGGTTTGTTGGGGCCGAAAGGGGGCTACCACCATCCCCAAAGGCATGACCGCTGTTGCTGTGGAAATGTCTCCCTGGCAACGGGAACCATGACAACGCCGTGGACTCTCCATCCCTAGTGGTTCTGAAGGGCCAGCTTGACCACACCTTGGCTGGGATGACTGAGTTGGGGTTGGTTCTGCTTTGGGTAGGGGGTTGGACCCGATGACTCTTGAGGTCTCTTCTACCCCTAGGAGTCCGTGACACCTGTAAGAACTTTTCAGTAGAGTCATGCCTCATCTCAAGTACCACCTCCTTCGCTCCTCTTCCACCCAGTCTCGCTTTTAGAGACCAGACTAAAGTCTTCCTCTCTTCGGACAGTCACTCTCCCGTAGGACTCAGAACGTGATCCGTTCAGCATTGGGGGATTCCGTGTTTAGCCCTCATCGTGGCAGACAGAGAGACTCCTCACCGAACTAAAACCAAACGGCCGCTGATATCCAAGCGATCGTGACTTCATCGCGTTGATCATGTGCCAACAGGACGGTACTTCTGAAGGGTCCACTTCAGAAGACTACTCGAGAGTCGTTGTGGGTCGTTCTTTGAAAACTTCCACTCAGTGTGAAGCGGCTGGCAAAAAAAGCCAACAGAATGTGCAAAATCATTAAAAAAAGGGATAAGAGAATTTACTGCCTCTACATAAAATCGTGGGATGGCCACATCATGAATATGGGCGTACAGATGTGGTCTCCTCATCTCCAAAAAGTTATATTGGCATTGGAAAAGGTTCAGCAAAGGGCAACAAAAATGATTCAGGATTTGGAGCAGGGATCCATATGAAGAGAGATTAAAAAGACGGGGACTTTTTAGCTTAGGTTATGTCTAGACGACAGGCTTTTGTCGACAGAAGTTTTGTCGACAGATACTGTCGACAAAGCTGTCGACAAACAGCGTCTAAACTACAGCCAGTTCTGTCGACAAAGCAAGCCACTTTGTCGACAAGACAGTGTAGACGCACAGGACAGCGTACATGCAGTAATGGCTGCTGTCGACAGAACTCTGTCGACAAACGGCGTTACTCCTCGTAGAATGAGGTTTACAGCCGTCGACAAAACTGCTGAGTTCTGGGGACGTTATGTCGACAGAACTCAGCGGCAGTGTAGATGCAGGTATCGTTTTGTCGACAAAAGTCCACTTTTGTCGACAAAACCCTGTAGTCTAGACACACCCTTAGAAAAGAGGAGAGATGGGTGGATAGGAGAGAGGTCTGTAACATCGTGACTGGGGTGGAAAAAGTGAATAATGAAAAGTTATTTACTTGCTCCCACAACATTTCAACCAATAGGCAGCAGGTTTAACACAGACCAAAGGAAGTTTTTCATCACACAGTGCAGTTAACCTGTGGAACTCCTCGCCAGAGGATCTGGTGGTGGCTAGGACTTTAACAGGGTTCAAAAAAGAGCTAGATTATGGAGGTTAAGGACTGTTGCACTTCCAGACACCTACTAAGGAACAAACCTGGATGGGGAGGGGGGGGAGCTTTTAGGGTTGTTTATTGGTACAGATTCTTCAGAAAAACGGGATACTCTCATATATCACATTCATGCTGGCAGTTTTTTCAGAAAATCGTTTCATCCTCTCAAAACGAGGGTTACAGGGATGCTGAAAAAACATGTCTGCTCTTCC